CAGCAATTTCTGTTCTCGTCTGTAACGAGAGAAAAAACAAACAGAACCTGAGACACACTTCCCAGCCCACGTGGGAGTGAATAAATGATTCATGCGCAGTGTCGACAATCACGTCCAGATACCCGGACCCGCCGCAAAAGGCGCCAGCAGCGCATGCGTCAGGCCGTCGTGGGACCGGAGCTACGCACACATGCGCGCTGCCGGCAACCCGCCGACCTGATACCCTCCGGCGCATGCGTCAGGGTGTTAGGGGGCGGAGCACGCATGCGCAGTGGGCTGTGTAGAGCCGCAAACCAACCGCCGCCGCCGATGAGGGTGAGAGGGAGGGAATGAAAACCGCCTCGGAATTACGTCAGGAGCAGGCCGCATTTTTTTTAAATTGTACAGCTATCCCTCCGTCCTCTCTCACACACAAACAACAGACAACCTTAAACTTCCGGTCCCTCGCATTTTTTGCATTGACGAAATCCATTCGCTGGTTTAACTCACCCTGTGATTGAGCGGCGCCTCGGCCTCTTTCTTTCTTTTCCTCAGTCTGTGCCTGACCCAGCCCCGGGCTCGGGTGATGATTTTATTTGGTTTAGAATTTGGTGCCGCGCGCCGCCGATGCCGTGATTCCATCCATCTTGAATTTGACGTCATCCCACACTCGGGATGAGGTCACTCCATGGAGCGCTCGTCACGGACGCCGCTTCCTGATTGGCTAGACCTGCGGATGGGTGGGACACACTGTCACATCCGGTCCCGCCCGTCAATCATCGGCGACGGGCTTGCTCGGTGCTCTTAAAGGCAACCAATTCTCATTTTTGGTATTTCAATCCATTGCTATTAATTTATGTTTATGATTTCCAGTGTTCACAGCAAATACGCATAGAAACATAAATAGCCAAGGCCATTTTGTCCTGTTTTCCTACTCAATAGGAACATATTTCTTTCAAATCAACCTGTTCTGAGATGTAGGAACATTGGAACAGGAGTAGACCATTCAGCCCCTTGAGCCTGTTCCACCATTCAATGAGATTTTGGCTGATCCGTAGACCAACTCCTTTGGCCCACATACCTAAATATCTTATTATCTATTTAAAATTTACATAAATTAATTTAAAGTGATCTAACACCCACTGTCATTTACAATGCACTTTGGAAACTTGAACCCACCCCTTCTGGCTCAAAGGGAGGGATACTACCATTGATCTACAACTTCTTCAGGGATATTGTGGCATGTGTCTGGAACACATCGGACTTGAACCCAAGCCTCTTGGCTCACTTACCACTGCACCATGAGAGTCTTCTGCAATCTCATCACAGTTGTCATCCAACTCAGTGGTTACTAAAACTGAAACATTCACTCAGTTTTTTCTCTTTACAGGTGCTGCCAATCCAGAATTTCTCCAGCAATTCCTTTTTTTATTTCCTTTTTTTATCTGCAGTTCTTTGTTTTATTTCATTAATCTATTCCTGCTTTCTCCCCATTCCCTTTGATCCCTTTGTGCTCAAAAGAACTGTATCTAATTCCTTTTTGAAAATATTCAATATTTTGGCATCAACCACCTTCTGTGGCAGAGAATTCCACAGACTTACCACTCTATAATCAAAGACATTGTTTATCTCAGTCCTAAAAGGCCTACCCCATATAATTAGATCTGCCAAATAGTCAGTGGTTCCTGGAATGGACATTTGCAAGCTCCTTAGATTTAAAAGAATCATCCTTGGGCTATGGGTGTCAACATCTGGGCCAACATTGTTGCCCTGGAGAAGATGATGGTGAACTGCTTTCCTGCACTGCTGCAGTCCATGTGCTGTAGTTACATTCCAATGAGCTTGAGAGGAGACACTATTCCTCCTGTAATTTTCTTGGGATCCCTCTCCAACCCAATCCATTCCTATTGCAGGAGTGTGTGAATGCATCATGTCAGGACATGCTGGGGCCTGGCAATAATTTACTAATAGCCTGTCAAGGAACATCAAAGCTGTAAACATTAAAGTTGTAAACATTACTTTTTGAGTGAGGAAGTACCTACAAATTGTGAGGTCGTACTCGGTTAGAAGTCAACAATAGGAGAGGAAAGTGGGATGCAAATTCTGGGAACGAAAGGCTTATTAGGAGAGAAGGAAAAATAAGAACATAAGAAATTGGGGCAGGAAGCAGGCCCTTGATCCAGTTCTGCCATTCAGAAGTTTCTGATTGTGGCCTTAGCTCAGTTTTTCTGCCCACTCCATTTCTCATACTTGCTCCACTCCATAATCCTTGACTCCTGCATTGATCAAAAAATTTCAAAAGGAATTCCAAAGACTTAAAATGTCTCTGATGTGAACATTCACTCCGTATCTACCCCGTCAAGCCCCCTCAGAATGTTATTTGATTCAGTATGATCATCACTATTCTTCCAAACTCCACTAAGTACCTGTTGAGCCTGCTCCACCTTTCTTCACCCTTCTCTGAAGTGTTGCCAATACAACTATATATGTTCTTAAATAAAGAGATTAGGAGACAATGCTCCAGATGCAGTTTCACTAATAACCTGTACAGTTGTGTGTATACACATATTTGTGATAATAGGTTACGATTGGAAGGTTCATAATGGCAAGAACTGTAGTCGTTAACATTCCAACCTTTGTCAATTGGTACTGCATTTTGAGCACTTATGCTACATGCAGTTAAAGCTTTACAACAATTACAGAAGCATTACTGATTAACAAAAAAAAGTTTAATACATGTAACCCAATAACCTACCTGAAGAGGCAACTATCCAATACCAGTAGCCTATCTACTGATGTCAAAAGATATTTGATGAGTAACTTGTGCCTGCTGACATCACACTTAGCAAACTGGGATGATTTCATTACTTAAAGCTACCCTTTTAAATTAATGAGACATTAAGTCCAAGTAGGCTTGTTATTTTGGACAGTGAACTCAGAACTGGGATTGGAGAAGAACATTTACAAACCTTGAGCAAAGTTAGAGATAAGAGAATTTCCCACTCGCCAGAAACAAAGATAGTGGATATGTGGCAAAAATGCAGTTAATTTTGGGTCAGTTGATAATATTAGAAATAGAATTTGAGTCATAGCTGTTGAGAATGGCATTTTTATTTATAGAGGTATTAACCAATCTATGTGGTTAAAGTGGAGTTAGAAAGAAAGAGAAGCTGAGGGAAGTGGGAAGATACAATGAGAGAAGTGAAATTGAATGGATTGTGGACCAAGACGGCTAAATGTTGGAGAACAATGTCATTATTTTCTTTCCAGTATTTGTACTTTTAATAAAACAAACAAGTGTGCATGCAAGATCTGAAACAAACAAAAATAGAAATTGCTGGAGAAGCTCAGCAGGTCTGGCAGCATCTGTGGAGAGAAAACTGAGTTAATATTTAGAGTCCAGTGGCCCTGCTTCAGAACTAGATTTCGTGTCTCCCACATCTCCCGCAATTCATCCCTCACACCCCGTCCACGCAATAAGAACCAAAAAAGAATCCCCCTCGTCCTCACGTACCACCCCACCAACCTCCGGATCCAACGCATCATCCTCCGACACTTCCGACATCTGCAATCCGACCCCACCACCAAAGACATCTTTCCCTCCCCACCCTTATCTGCTTTCCGGAGGGACCACTCTCTCCGTGACTCCCTTGTCCGCTCCACACTCCCCTCCAGCTCCACCACACCCGGCACTTTTCCCTGCAACCGCAGGAAGTGCTACACCTGCCCCCATACCTCCTCCCTCACCCCCATCCCAGGCCCCAAGAAGACTTTCCACATCAAGCGGACGTTCACCTGCACATCTGCCAATGTGGTATACTGCATCCGCTGTACCCGTTGTGGCCTCCTCTACATCGGGGAAACCAAGCGGAGGCTCGGGGACCGCTTTGCAGAACACCTACGCTCGGTTCGCAATAAACAACTGCACCTCCCAGTCGCCAACCATTTCAACTCCACCTCCCATTCCTCAGACGACATGTCCATCCTGGGCCTCCTGCAGTGCCACAACGATGCCACCCGAAGGTTGCAGGAACAGCAACTCATATTCCGCTTGGGAACCCTGCAGCCTAATGGTATCAATGTGGATTTCACAAGCTTCAAAATCTCCCCTCCCCCTACCGCATCCCAAAACCAGTCCAGCTCGTCCCCGCCTCCCTAACCTGTTCTTCCTTTCACCTATCTCCTCCCACCTCCCACCTCAAGCTGCACCTCCATCTCCTACCGACTAAACTCATCCCGCCCCCTTGACCTGTCCGTCCTCCCTGGACTGACCTATCCCCTCCCTAACTCCCCACCTACGCTCACCTTTACTGGCTCCATCCCCGCCTCTTCGACCTGTTTGTTTCCTCTCCACCTATCCTCTCCTCTATCCATCTTCTATCCGCCTCCCACTCTCTCCCTATTTATTTCAGAACCCCCTTCCCCTCCCCCATTTCTGATGAAGGGTCTAGGCCCGAAACGTCAGCCTTTCTGCTCCTATGATGCTGCTTGGCCTGCTGTGTTCATCCAGCCCTGCACCTTGTTGTCTCGGATTCTCCAGCATCTGCAGTTCCTACTATCTCTGATTCAATTATATTTTTAAGTTGGGGTTGCTGTCGAATCATGATTTGAGTCCTGATTGTTGACTTATTCTTTGATCGTATTGATTAACTATTTGAATAGCTAGTAACTATTGTCGCCATATCAGAAGATAACAGAAATAAATCTTCCACCAGAGACATTGATAATAATTGTAGTCCTGCAATATCAGCATCCTGCCTGCCATTGGTTAAGTAAACAAGAACTAAAGATCAAACCTGTTACTCCCAGCTATCTGTCTCCCTGCTTAATGCATCTTTTAAATATAGAGATACTTCTGTTTCAAAGGGTAAGCGCTAAACTTCCTGTTACTCATTTAGAATTAAAACACATGTTTCTACAAGTGTATCACCTGTTGATGTGCAACACATCAAAATGATGAGGAATCTGTACAGGGAAGATGGGGAGAAACTGTTCCAACTGCCAGAAGCATCAATCAGAGGACATCAACTGAAGATGATATGCCTGAGAGTGTAGTGGCAGCAGATTTAATGATGACGCTCAAGGGGAATTGTTTGTGGGTAAACATTCCAAAGGTATGGGGAACAAAATGTGTGGGTGGGAGTACCTGAGTTGCTTGCTGGGAATTGGCCCAGGTATGACTGACTGAATGGCCTTATTCTGTGCTATAACCATCCTGTGATTCAATATTAACATCAGGCCGACAGAGCATTAATAAAGGTTCCAGGTTTTCTTAAGACTATCCTTTCAGCAAGCCTTTCTGGTACTCCTGTCTAAATCTATCTGTCTCATTTTCTTAAATCCCACTTATTTGCACAAGGACACATTCATCATCTCTCAATCTCCTATTTCGGTTCAATTCCTCCTTTCAAGCAGGATCGGTGCTAGGTCAACTGTTGTTTGTTATTTACATAAATGATTTGGAAGAGAATATAGGAAGCCTTAGTAAGTTTGTGAATGACACCAAAATTGGTAGTACAGTGGACAGTGAAGAAGGTTATCTAAGAGTAGACTGGGATCTTGATCAACTCGGCCAATTACATAGTTAATGATAGGGCCCTGGGGAGTGTTGTGGAACAGAGAGGCAATATCCTGATAAATCTCTTTGAAACCCT